TGATTAAAGTATTATAAAGTAATTATAAAGGAAGAATTGCATGTTTCACCGCGATGTCTGTGTTTTGGTACAGTTTGTCTGAGTAATATATGTCAACACTTAAGGAGCTGTATCTACACACTAAAATGATTAAAAAGTATCGTATGGACAAATGTCCTACGTACCTTACTTTCCGAGTTATAAATGATTAAAATTGGCAAGACCATACGTGAAATGCATGTCGGTCATGTGTCAAGCAAAAGTGTATGAATTCATTTCGTCGCTTACAGAACTGTATCGAACTCGCGAGAATAACACATCTTTCCCAATACATCGCGACGGATATTGTTTGTAAAGATTAGATAAGAGCAAGATGCACAGTCTGGTTCTCACAAGAGATCAGTCGTTTCGGCAGAAGAGCAAAGAGGGTATTCCGCTCCCGCCGCCTGACCTGCACGCTCGTAGTCCCCACTTTTCTATGACCTCACCAAACTCACTCTTATTGGTAAACGAGAAGACCAACAAGCTAATCGACGCGAGGAGCAAGGGGGATCGGCCGCTGCTCGCTTCACTTAGTCTCTTGTTCAGCGCGTAACTTAGTCAATAATAAAAAAAGGTTTGGAATAAAAAGGCTAGGTGGAGCGGACAACCGATTCCCTTTGTCTCTTGCTCTTTGTATCATTTAGTTTATGCGTAGTGTTTCATTTCAATATTATTTATATATTGGGTTGGCAACTAAGTAATTGCCGATTTCAGTTATAGATGTCTCTCGCTCCCATTTTTATGATGTCCGTAAATGTTATATTATGTTATTATTATTATTATATATTATTATTATGTTATTTTTTATTATCCGTGAATGTTAGTTATATTATGTTATTATTAATAATATATAATATTAATAACAATAACATAACATATTATTATATAATATTAATAACAATAATATAACATATTATGTTAGTTATATTATTATTATATTATAATGTTATATTATGTTATTATTATTATTATATATTATTATTATGTTATTTTTTATTATCCGTGAATGTTAGCAACTGGACAAATTGAATGCAGCGGTCAAGGAAAAGCGACCAGAATTGGTCAATCGTAAAGGTGTCATTTTACAGCAGGACAATGCTAGGCCGCACACGTCTTTGTCCACTCGGCAAAAATTGATGGATATTGGTTGGGAATTGATGTTACACCCACCATATAGCTCTGATCTCGCGCCATCAGATTACCACTTATTTCGATCCCTGGACAAACTCCCTTCGCGGTAAAACTTTTAATGACGATGACGCTGTAAAATCTCACTTAACTCAGTTTTTGGCCGAAAAGGATCAGACTTTCTACGAGCGTGGAATTTTCAAGTTGTCAGAGAGATGGCAAAAAGGTCATCGAACAAAATGGAAAATACACATTACAGATTAAACTTCATTCCAAGTAAAAAGAAATTTTTTATTTCATTGAACAAATCGGCAATTACTTAGTTGCCAACCCAATATATTTATATCATTTCAATACTTCAATAATACGTTGCAAGCCTGCGGACATGAGAGTAATACTGTACGAGCAAAACATGATTATTTTCTCACTAATACTCCATAAATATTGAACACAAATTTAAGACGTGTATGATAGCCGTTTAAAAATATCATACATGATACAACATAAATATAGAAAATACGTGTATAGTACAGCATGTTTGCTGCATAATACAGCGAGAAGTTAATCAATATGGTAATTAGTAATTGGTAATTACAAATAATCATGTGTTCACCAGAAGAATCTGAAGTTAATGCTTTAGGGGTAAGTCAACGCTCTTGCATCTTGTAATCGTTGCGTCTGTTTCACTTTGTCTCGATTGTTCTACGCCTCCTGTACTTGTCGAGCGTCTCTCGTGGTCGCGTAAATAATACGCACGTACACCTACACAAAGCACAAACACTCGCGTGCTTCTAACCAAAAATAGCGATCACGAGGGAGCGAAACGTGACAGGAGTCAGGGGGCGTTGTTTGTTTTTAATCGGTCGAACTCGAGTCCCTTGTTACCTGGAAATTTAGTATGACAGCTAATTTGGGGCCAATAGCAAGGGATTATTTTTGTCAATAAGAGAAACGCGTTTACTCTACTTCTGCGAGAATGTTAACATGGGTGGGTTGGTGAGAATCGATCCTACACTTTTCTCAGCTGCCTTCTTCTGAGCACCGTACAGTGACTCTCATTTAATATTCGGACACTTTTTAAAACGAAATAACTTCTTTAGAACTGGTCTAAATGGCTTGACATATAGTAGATAGACATATATACATATAGATATGTCATATATATGTCATATAGTAGATAGACATATATACATATAGATATGTCATATATATGCCATATAGTAGATAGACATATACATATAGATATGTCATATATATGTCATATAGTAGATAGACATATATACATATAGATATGTCATATATATGCCATATAGTAGATAGACATATACATATAGATATGTCATATATATGTCATATAGTAGATAGACATATATACATATAGATATGTCATATATATGCCATATAGTAGATAGACATATACATATAGATATGTCATATATATGTCATATAGTAGATAGACATATATACATATAGATATGTCATATAGTATATGTCATATAGTAGATAGACATATAGTAGACAATGGCTAAATTACTTTTGCTATTACTTGGAACATTGCTAAATATTTTCTTATTTCACTTATAACTCGAAAAGTAAGGTCCGTAGGACACTTGTCCATAGGATATTTTTTAATCATTTCAGTGTGTAGATACAGCTTCTCAAGTGTTGATATATATTTCTGAGACACCCTGTATGTGGAATTCTACAAAACAGGGCTTCACGAAAGTATTCGAACAACATTTAAGGCGGGAGTACTTTTGAAAAATTTGCTGAAAGTCTGAACAAATTCTTGCTGAAATTGCAATTGATTGAAATGACAAAAAATTCACGTTTTTCAACTTTCTTTGTCTGGGCCAGTAACGAAAATTTAAAAAATGCGTTTTGTAAATCTCGTTGATTTGTATGCATGTTAAAAATTCGATCGAAATCAGTTGAGCTTTCGTTGTGAGCTTGTTGAAATCAGTTGAAATCTTTTTTATGAGCTTCAAGCTCATTAAAATTAAAAATTTCGAAAGCCACAGTTTTTCACGATTTTCTGATAGTTTCAACTGATATCTGTAAGAAATCCGAAAATTTTCACGTCTTTCGATACTCGATGCTCGATGCTCTCTTGCAAATGTTCAATTTTCAACATAAATATAAGTTACCGAGACCTACGAAACGCATTATTTAAATTTTCGTTATAGTTTCTAATAAAAAAAGTTAAAGAACGTAAATGCTGTATTTTCTTTTGTCAGTCCAAGAAGTTGCAATTTTTGAAAAGAAATTTTTAGACATTGTAAATCCTAACATCTCGCAACAAATAAAATATAGTTGGTCCAATTTCATGAATGTTATTCTCCTTTTAAAATGTGTTCGAATACTTTCTCGAGCCACTGTAAGTACTACAATTTGATTTATGTAACAATAAATATAACTCCTTAATGCACTTGCTCCGTTTTCGCACTTACTGCACTCCACCTTCAGATAATGTCACCGTAAAATGATTACATAGCAAGTATACTTAACCCTCCGACCACTGAATCGCGGTCTCCTCCGCTGGAGTCATTTCTGGCTCACAATGATATTCTACTAATGCATATTTGCGGTTCTCCCCACTCTAGTTCGCCGTGACTCCGCCACGGAAGACGGAGGGTTAATGAAACTTTACCCTTTTCGGAGCGGTAATCGAAACTCATGAAAAGAAACTTGCTCACAGAAATTGATTCGGATTCGTAATAATTAGGTGGTTTAAACTTTTCGCCGCGTGTGTTTTTAACATACAGCGATATAATTTAGCGAAGGCGTTCCAAGGAACATTTAGTAAACGACAAGCATTTCGTCTTTTACACAGTGAAAACCGAAAAGTGAGACGAGTTCTTATTTTACGCATTTTCTGCTGCACAAATTCCGCAAAAGAAATTATCGCCACTACGCGCATAAAATGATTTGATTGATTTCGTAAAGGAAATTTTCATCTGGAATATCAACCACGTTCTGAACGTTCAACTGGATTAGACGAGGACACAATTTGTAAAACGCGGAATTGATCGATTGAAAAATGTGTGAAACTTTGAATATCTCAAAATCATCTTTCTACAGATATTTAAAGAAAATAGCAGGCGATTATGGCACGAATTTATGGAACATCTTAATATATGGACGGTTCAGAAGCCAATCGGTGCAAGTCCACTTTTCCTTAAAAATGAGTTACGCAGTGCAAACACATCTTTATCGTACGATCGGTGGATAAATCAATATAGTCGATTTCTTCATAAATAAACAATGCATAGCAACACCTTGATCGTGGTATGATTAAACAAAATTGTTCAAAGGCACTTGTCTTTCCTTGTTTCTCTTTTGGTTAAATTCACTTCTATGTCATTTTGCAATAAAAATCGTGCTCAGCATTATTAGTATCATTATCGTTTAACATTGTCATTTTTTAATTGACAAAATTCTTATTTTCCTCGATTTTAAGGTGAATGGACTTACACCGATGACTTTTGAGCCGTCCGTGTGTGTATGTACATTGAACTTGATCCCATCCCTATTCCTAAGTCCGTGCGTTGACCCTCCCGCCGTTCTTCGTCGCGCGAGCAAAAACAAAGGAACGCGAAGACTCTGTTTCAATTTCCGCTCGGTCTCGCAAAAAGCGTGCGGCCGCCCGAACATCTCGAATTTTCGCGATGCGGAGGGTCGGAGGAGTTCGTCGCCAACCCCTGTTGGAACTCCGAAAGATACGGAATCACGTACGAATGGTGAAAAAAGCCGGAGGGTAAATGGGCTGCCGAGCAACGACTAAACAGCGACACAACATGGAGGACGGACTGTGTGTAGTGGTACGCAAGAGTTGCTTTTTTTCGACTCACATGGGAAGCTGACTGGAGGATGAGTTTGGGCGTTGTGTGCGTTATGGGGGTGCCTCGGGGTCGGGACGTGTTGTCTGCAGAAGCACAGAATCGTCGCCGTCACCAGGCCTGCTATGCTCAGGATCACAAAAACAAGGCCGGTCACGAACCAGATCAGATGCAGGCCCAGGATCGTTGATGTCTCGGAGTCTGAAACGGCACACGTTGCAAGGATAATTGTAATTAGAATGCGAAACAAGAAACTTCTATATATATAACACCGGTTAAAATAGAAATTTGTTCCCGCGTGTTCTTAGCCCCTTCCACTCGGATGTCGCCTCTCAGGGGACGCAACAAGACCGAACTTTGCTAGTTGGAAAATCTGGATCGATACGATTGCGTGTCAAATTCTATTCAACGCTTTGACTGCTCCTCTTAGAAATTCCACAACGTTAGTACAGTTGATTTAAAAATAGAATTGATCGAAATAAAAATTGAAAAGTCAATGCTTTACCCATCGGCTGTTCTTTCATAGTCTCCATGTAATTCTGCTTAGGTCGGTTAGTCGAGATTCAATCGTATTTCAGAAATATGTAAATACCATAAATGCATAAAGATTACGATAACGCAAATGTAAACATGTCGGGACATATACATATTACAGATTATATACATATTTTCCGTATACATATTACGCGGGTTTCGCACTTCAAATTGCAAATTGCAAATTACATTCAGGCTTTTGCAAATGAAATTCATCCGTTTGCAAATCGAATTCACCCTTTCACCCATTTGCTTCCTTGCGAATCAAATTCTTCTACTTCATTTGCTTAAATCATTCTAGTGAAAATCAAATTTAATGTTACTTCGTTGTTCTGACTTTATTCATTTTACCGTAATGTTTAACAATGAATTCGAAATACATGTTTAATAGCGAACGTACCTCTATAATGAACTTAAAATTTCGATAATGAACATATACTTTATCTATAACAATTCTTCTGCCATGTTAATTTCATATACATATTCATATAGTTATTATGACAATCTGAGTGAATAATATATGCAACGGAATAATTCGTAAATTCCACGAGAAAATACTTTTTTCATAGAATTTAATTTTTGAGAATACTTCAATCGTAAAAATAATCAGGCGAGCCTTGTTTGACCAATAAGGTTAAGCAGTTCTTATGTTCATCTTGCGGAGGCTTATGCTGTTCAAAACTAACTACAGGGTGTCCCAAAATTATGGTATTTCCGAGAAATGAGGGATTCCTGAGGTGATTTGAAGCAACGTTTTCCTTTACAAAAATTTTCTCCGAGGCATCGTTAACGAATTATTCATGAAAAACACTGACCAATGAGGGGCGAGTTCGCTCGGCGCTAGCTCCGTACGCTCGTTCGCTCGGTCACCGCGCGCCAGCCAAGCTCGCCTCCCATTGGTCACAGTTTTTCGTTAATAATTCGTAAACAAAGCCGCGGATTGCATTTTCGCTGAGGAAAAAGTTACTTCAAATAACCTCAGGAACCTCTCATTTCCCGGAAGTACCATAATTTTGGGACACCACTTCGTCCATTTGTGTGCATTGAGTTTCTACGATAATCCTCGAAGCAATTTGCTAACATATTTGCGCTCTCGAGACAGGCGCAAAATTAATTTGATCTGCAAAAGAATGTGTTTGATTTTAAAAAAGTGAACATAACCTACAAACGATGAATTTTATTTGAGAAAAGGTAAATACGATCAGCAGAGGAATGAATTGTAATATATTTTAAAAAAGTGACCATGAATTGTACAAAACGATGAATTTGTCTTAAGGAAAGGTAAATACGACTTTCAGAGGAATAAGTGGTAATATATTTGATAAAAGTGAACGTGAATTGCAAAAGGATGTACATATGTACATAGTTGTCTTGAAAAAAGTGAGTAAGATCTACGAAGGATGAGCTTGACTTGAGAAAAGTCAAAAAATTTAATCCGCAAAGGATGAATTCGATTTGTAAAAAAGTGAACATGACTTGCGATTGAATCTATTTTATCTGAAAAAAAGTGAGCATGACCTGCGAAGAATACATTTGACTTGAGAAAAGATGAATATAACCTGCAAAAGGATGAATTCGCAGTGTGTACGCTGAAACATGGCGAAGTTACGTTGCGCGTGTTGCAAAACAACTGCAAATAAAAAGGATTCGAAAAGAGACGGGAACTTTTGCATACATCTAATATAAAAGGAAACGAAGGGTGTGTTTTTCCGATGTAATAATGAGAGAAACTTACTGGCACAGAGGGTGGAGATAGCCTCGTCGGAGCCATCGCCACAGTGGTTCACGCCGTCGCAAAGTAGGTCTCTGTCTATGCAGAATTCCTTCTCGGTGCATCGGAAGTCCTTGCAGGTGTGCTCTGGAAACGAGAAGAAAAAAGAAATTGAACGTTAACCGTGTCGTAGCAGGAGAGCCAAGAACCAACAAGAAAAGAAAAAGTATGCTGTTCCCCGGACAAGTGCATTGGCCTTGCGAAAGGGTTACGCACCCCTCGAGTCGAGGGCTCTCCGACGGGTGTCGAGGCTTCAACGACAGGCCAGTTTTGAAACACGCGTCGCACTTTTTGGCGACGAACCTCCCTCCGGCTATTTCTGTCGCGGCCGTGCTGCCACTTAACTGTGCAACCCTTTTTCCTACCAGTTATTACTCAACCTTCGGTCGCGCGTCTCCTTCCACGAGTTAATAGGGCGATCGCGAATTAGATAATTCGACTGCGACCCTATAGCCATTCGAACGAGATTGGTTTACTAGCAGGGGCCAGCCGAATATAACGTCCACGGACTGCATTGAAATGCAAAGCTTTCGGGTTTATTAAATCTGCATATAGTAATTTCTTCCAGAAATGTCGGACGGTCGGAATTGAAAACGGCAGATCCGAGAATACCAAGTTACGCTTCTTCGGGCCTCCCGGCTCGTTTTTATAAAAATCCGGGGCAGTGATATAATCGGCGGTTATAAGTACGAGCCGTCGTATCTCCTTCTCCCAAATTGTCCACTTTTGTGCACAATCTGAGCCTCGATTAGAGAGAATTTGCTAGAATAAAAACGATGACTTGCGTTTTTTATTTCCTGTTTTCTGCCACGATTCGAAAGCAATTCGGTAGCCACATGCCACGATCCGAAGGCAATTTGTAAACCCGAACGGACCATTTTGTGTTGTCTTCCGGGAATTCGCGTCGCGTGTCGCATCACACGCTTGACCAACTTTGTCGACCCTTAGCATCGACATAGCAATAAATTACATAGGCGTAGAACTAGTACAGGAGGGTTCACAGCAACCCGAAATTTGGCATTTCTGGGAGAAATTACTGTATTTTGAACTTCGGCACTTTCGGCGTTGTAAGGATGCGCACGCGTTTCGGCAATCGAAACGTTCCATGGTTATCGCTCGTCTCATAAAAGTCATAAATTCGAAGTGTCGAGTCTCATCATTTTCCGGACGTAAAATGTTAGTAACGAAACGTAGTTTGTAATGTTGCTCATAACCAGACAGTGAAAAATGAGTAGAAAGAGCAGGTGATATACATCGCTTCACGAACCGTATCTCAGCTGCAAGACCGTATGCACGATGCGAATTTTCACGAAAACCAAGTGTCAACCAAAAAAAAAGTTGTTCTATATTCTTTTTTCATGTTCTTTTTTTTATGAGGGACCACCTGGTGCCCGTTTGTACATACTTTGCAGGGGCACCCTGTATTTTTCAACAGGATAATGCCGCAGCACACACTGCGAAAGTAGTAAAAGAGTACTTTTCTCGAGAAAGCATTCGCTTTTCGGATTGACCAGCGGGGTCACTCGATCTTGACGCCATTGAAAATTGTTCGGGAATTCTTGACCGAGCTGTACATGGAAATGGCGGACAATTTCGATGCATTGCCGAATGGAAAAAAATGCGTTCAAGACGAGGGAGAGCAATTGGTGCAGAAAGCTGTTGAAGAACTCTATAAATCTTTGCTAAGGAGAATGTTTCTTAATTTAAACGTAATTTTTAAACAGTCCTTTTCAAAAATGTGTCTTGAATCGCTGATTCTAACGCACTCGTTTAATGAAAATATTTGCACATGCACGTAACCTTGACACCATTGAAAATTGTTCAGAAATTCTTGACCAAGCTGTACATGAAAATGGCGGACAATTTCGATGCATTGCCGAATGGAAAAAAATGCGTTCAAGATGAGAGAGAAAGAGAGAGAGCAATTAGTGTTAAAGAACTCTATAAGTCTTTGTTAAAGAGAACGTTTTTTAATTTAAAATGTAATTTTTAAAGAGTCCTTCTCGAAAATGAGTCTTGCACCGCTGATTCTAACGCACTCGTTTAATGAAAACATTTGCGCCGTATCTGCGGTCGAGGGGGTGAGAGGTTCGAGAGGCAGAAAGCCGGACTCCTTCTCGAAATTGAAACCCGTAAAAAAATGAGAAGTTCGTCGAAGATAACTCTGGCAGACCGTAACAAAGTGGTCGATGATGGAACGCGGGGGTAATGACTCCGGCTGTCTCGGTTCGCAATTATAACTCTCGAGGGTGGTTCGACATCGAAGGTAATAAAACGAGAAACGTAGGGTTAAAGGATCGGGGCGAGAGAAATGGCCGGGCGGGATCGAAGAAAAACTGGCTAGCGTCGTCGCCAACGGTCGGTGAAGTGTAATTTTCTATAATTTAATAGTTGAAATTCTTTTCGCTTTTATCTTTCCCGTTTGTCCCCGTGGCCGTTCCACCAGGATTCGAAGAATTCCGTGGACGATAGGAAGAAAAACTGGGCGGGGCGATGAGGGATCGTCCTGATTAAAATGGGATCGAGTTACCTACAAATCTCGCGCGATGCATCCTTTCGAAGAAATGAAACGAGTTCCCGCCGATGTTGACTAAACGGTTCCAGGGGATAGTAATTTTTCAAACGATTTACGCGAGACGCCCGGAATCCCCGTAGTGATCACAGAAAAGGACTGTTATACAGGTTGTCCCAGAACGCCCGTTGCGCTTAGAAAATGGTATTTCCACGGATGATTTCGCGTAACTTCTTGCTTCAACGAAAATATTCTCTGCGACTTCGTTAACTAGTTATTAACGATAAACATGGACCAATCGGAGAGTGAGTATAGCCGACGCCCCGCCCACACGGCCAATGCCGCGTCGAGCTCTCCATCGCGTCGGAACGCGCCAGTTGTACTCGCTCTCTGGTTGGTCGATGTTTTACGTTAACCCATTTGCATCATAAGCGTATATACAGGGTGGGGCATTTTAAACATTCAGGTGACCTGTTTAAAATGCCCCACCCTGTATATATATATATAATCTGGTATTACCAATTTTTCTGTAGGTGGAGGCGTCGAGGAGATACGAAGGTCAATTCTGTTTTTTTAAATGGAACAGTAAGTATCTTTACTTACATTCTGATTGAGTGTTTCGAGGCGAATACAATGAACTATTATGAAGGTCATTCAAGGTCACCCAAAGTCAACTGCAAGAGAAAATAAATTGTCTCAGAGTACTTCTCGAATACTTGTGTATCACGTGTGTGTATTACGTGACACGGGTCACAAAAGATAAACAAACATTCAATCGCATTGTGTGTGTGTACGCTTATCTGTGTATCCTCAAACATTATTGGTAATTTTAAATTATCTGTTTTAGAAAAGAAAAAAATTCAGAGATTTATACATTTCAGCGAAGGATTAAAAATGTCGTAAATATTTCTGCACTTTTCGTACTAAATGCCATATGGTCATAGTGTTGTGGTCGTTGCATTGGACTTGATCTTAGCTTTTACATTATGACGATAAAAATTGCACACAAGTAAATAGATGACATTATTTTTTGATTAGATTTATAAACAAATTTGGGTGATTATTCGCCATTTTACTGTATTTTAGCTTTGCTTTTCTGTGTCACTTTGGGTGACCTTGAATGACCTTTATAATAGTTCATTGTATTCGCCTCGAAACACTCTATCAAAATGTAAGTAGAAAAACTTACTGTTCCATTTAAAAAAACAGAATTGACCTTCTTATCTCCTTGACGCCTCCGCCTACAGAAAAATTGGTAATACCAGATTATGAGCCCTCCGATACCAAATAAGTTTGGTCTAATGCATTTTCTCCTATCTTCAAAAACAAGCGAGTTATTCAGGTAACCTGTTTAAAATGCCCCACCCTGTATACGCTCAATTTTCCTGGTCACTATCACCGGAGCGTATATATACGCGGCTGCGTTCGGTATTGAATCCAAATATTTAATTAATAAAATAACACACTCGCTAACAGTATAAGATCACAGAGACAAGCACCGATACTGATAACTGTTACACTGCTTGGATGCAATGATGATTTGTTATTTTGCTTCTCTTTGTTATCTCTGCAATCACTATCGCCGGTGCTGTGCACATACTGAAATTTGTTAGTCACTAAACTGATTCATAACCTTAAAATAGAAATGGATGGAATTCTGGAATCTGAAAGCAGTTTTTCTGATTGTAGTGCAGAAAATATTATGCCGCTAAGAAGAAGACGAATTAGAGAAATAAGATCCGATAGTGATGATAGTGATAGCGATTGCGAAGTGCCTATATGCATCCCACATTTCAAATATTACCACACTGAACAAAATTCCTAACAAATAATGCTGAAAAATGATTTTCTTTTACTTTTATACAATTTTACATCTAAATATGAAATAAAAATTTTTCGGTGATATGGGCCCTTTTTTCATATTTCCATATGATGCGAATGGGTTAATAACTCGACAACGCTCTGACTACCGCGTCACGAATATCTAGGCGTCGCAATTATTTTCGTACATATGGAAATTCATTTTCAGGCTAATTTGTTACATCTCCTTCATTTCATCAGGTTCCGCGAAACGTAAGAATGTTGAAATCATAATAAACGAGAGTGGCGAGAGATTAGAACTACTTACAAGTTTGGAAAATTTTTAAACAAGCTTCACTGGGCCTCGGCGACTACTTTCTGGACGTAACAGAGGTTTCAGGACACCCTGTACGATTTCGATCGGGAGAAACTTTCTACGGGAATAGAGTTTTGCGATTCTACCAATGAAAACTCACAAGGGGCTCGTTGTTAACTTTCCACAGGGCATTATGGACTCCGGAACTACGCCACTTTCACGACCCGGAACATTTGAGTTTCGAACCTCATATATTCTGCAAATAAATTGGTTCCGAAGTCTATATCGCGTGAAGCGGCCGTTAATTATTTGCTCGATCGCAGCCATAGGGTTGGCTGTGACTTCGCCGATATTTTAAGGATTCGACGTTATCCGCGCTATTTCAGATTCAACGGCGTAAACAATTGCCAACCCGTGTCCAAGGGTGTTTGTTCGTCGAAAATCGTCGTTCGATCTCCG